AGGTAATTCGAAGAAAAAACAAAGTGTTACTGTTTCTTATTTGTAGAAGGTTTAAGAGGAAAGACGACAACATAATGAACTAATTCATCACAATACCTGAAAACTCTGACTTCACTTTTTTGAAAAATGAAATGGTCTTTCCTTTTATTCCCGATCAACAATCAAATATCTTTTCTTGAATTATGAATAACACGAATGGATTGAAATATTTAATTAAATTATCTAAAATAAACCTTCGTTTCGGTGCATTACTGAAATTAGCTTGAATTCTTCATAACCTCTGATTGGTGGGTGACCCAACGGGTCACGGGTGGTCTAGTAATTATTGTAGATTATAAGTTTAGAATCACATTCATGTGTATTTCTGTTGACTTAAATTTTGAAGCTTAATGCACATTATTGAGTCGTAGTAAAATTTCATAAATATAGCGTTTGGGCACTAAAAAAGAATATCAAATAATGTCAGTTTTGTTTGGCTGATTCTTGGGGTTAGCCGGCAATGTGCAAGTTTCTTTGTTATTTCAAACTCTGCAGGAAATGTTTGAACATTTTCTCACTTAGAGAGGGTGTTCTGTGAAGTATCAAACTGCCAGGTGTTAACTTGGAATTTTCGTAGTAACTGACCAGTTGAATTGCCAATTCTAACAGTGAATTCATTAGTTGCATGGATCAGATTCTTCCAATCAAAAAAGAAAAACTGAACTTTTGGTACATTTCTTCGTACAGTTCATAAGAATCTTAACTTGTTAAGCACTTTTCTCTCAGTTTCTGGAACTATATTAAGATAGAGATAACGACGTATGATTACCACTGTTTGTATTCCAAGGAACACTTTTTGTACTGATATTGTGGTTGGATCAAGAATTCAAGAAAATGCTTGCATATCACACGTCTGATGATTTTGTTTATTTTAACGTCAAGCTACACAGTGGACTATCTTCGCTCTGTCCACCGTGAGGAATCGATCCCCAAATTTGAGTGTTTAAGTTCATAAACTTATTGCTGACCCACTCATGATGGTAGTTTCGATTGTGTGATGAGAAAGATGTCCATCGAATTTTAGTTAGTTTAAAAAATACAATACTAAATGTAAAACCACAACATAAATTGGACTCTTGTGTAATAATAGTTTTTGTTTTTTTCCTATTAAGTAAAATTATATCTTAAAGTTTCTTGTTGTGCATCACAAAGAATAATGTAATGCGTGTTTACAAGAAAAAAAAAATTAGAAACGTTTAATGTCAATGAAATTATTGAAACAGTTTACTTTCTTCAAAAATTCAAGTTTAATTTCTCGTTGAGAGGTTTATAGTATTTTGGGCATGATTTAAAAAATCTTGTAGTGCCATCTATTGAAACGTGCTTTCCAAATCATCATAATTTCGTGACAATCGTTTTCAACTAGCAACAGCGTATATTTTTAACGACGTTTTTATTTGAAACAGAAATGAATATTATTTAGCAGTCAACTTTTATTCAAGGTTTTGAGTACACGTTATCGTTTAAAGCAAGCCTGTCATTATATTCTTGGTTCCTTACTGATAAGAAAATGAAGCAAATCATCATATTTAAAACTGAAAGTGAAATATATATTAGTTCAACCCCATTGCATAGAAACAGTAACAATTTAAATTACAGTAACTGATACTTGGACACATTTATCTAACTTGTAGGTGATGTTTCTAATTACAGACAGATGACTGGGAAGAATTTGATAGGAAGAAAGGATCACAGAGAAAGTCTTCTGGAAATGGTGGTGATCAATTAGAAATGAAGGTATAACTTGGATCATAGTTATGATTTGGTTTGAAGAAGTATGGTGCAGCTTTGGCTGTAACACATAATATTTTTGGCATATGGTTTTATTAAGAACTTCAGACCAAAAGTAAGCCAACTCTGTAGATCAGAATTGTATGACATTCCAATTAGATAATATGCTTAACAGTTATATATCAATACACAGGAAAACAAAAATCTATAAACATTACACTGTAGTTAATTACGAGTTCGGTTCTCTTGTTGATAGTGACATTTCTGGCCATAATTCCAATAATATATCTCAAGGTGTGACTAACTTTGAAGATTTACATTAGTTCCAAATTTACAGTGCACAGTAACCAAGAAATTATTGCAAAACATTTAAAAGATTATAACCCCTAAAGAAAATGGAATAGATTATTACTTACTATAATTACAAGAGTTCAAGTATTACTAGTTACAAGTGTACACGACATGGGATTACTCACAAGAATCCATGCATTACTTGTCATAAATACATAACATAGGATTAATCACAAGGTGTAAGTAGTACTAATCACAAGTGTACAGGTAGGATCATTCAAGTGTATATGGCATAGGGTTATTCACAATTGTACATGAGTTTAGGATCAATCACAAGGGTGTAAGTAGTACCAGTTACAAGTGTACGTGACACAGGATTAATCACAAGGATGCAAACAGTACTAGTTACAAGTGTACAGCTAGGATCAATAATGAACATACATGACACAAGAGAACATGTAAGATTAGTTGCCAGGATAACATGTAGAATTAGTGCTAGCCATAATTATGCCTGTATTAGTTGTTACAAGTGTAGTTAATTGCTAAGAGTTAATAAACATAAGGAATCATCTAGTTTGGAAGTAAGATTATCGTCATTCTTGATACATAATAACATTTCAAATTGTCTTCTTATTGTTTCAGTATATTCGTCAGAGGCTTCAACGGACCAATAAGAGCAATCATGGCCCAGGAGGCTACAGCTCATATCAGAGGCTCAGTCCTTTCCAAGGGGACCATTCTGCCATATCACAGTCTACCCCTACTGGCAGCAATAATGGTTCCATACCGTCCACAGCAACAACAACCACTAGCACTTCATTTTATCAACATTTATATAATGTACCCACACATAGTGGGTTAACAGGAACAGTTAGCAGGTCTCGCACTGGTCCCATTCCAATCCCTCACATTCCAAAGGCCTCCATCCCCCGTATCCGCAGCAGTGTGGAAGGTTTAAATCAGGTAAGTCATTTGTTTTCTTGTCAGAATATGCAACAAGACCACCTGCACTTCAGGTAATACATATCAGTTAGTAATTGAAGAGAGTTGTTGTCTAATTTGTTATGTTATTAATACTATTGTTACTCTCAACTCGTGTTTATTTAGTGCATGGTGCCATTTAATACAAAATCTCAAAAAATAAAAGATTAAGTGCAATTGAAGGTTAAGAGTAACTTTCAGCCAAATACATAGTTTCTAACTATAGCTTAGGGGTCATAAAATAGAGTTATTTTAAAAATAAAATAAAGATCTGGCACTTTTCTCCTGATTAAATGAAGAAAGGCTCCAGACTAACATTACAGAAGGTTCTTTATGGTCTTACTTTATTCTAGCATATTTATCTAGACTGCTTTCTGAGACCATTTATAACATACACATTTTATAAAAAGAAAAAGTATATATTCGTGCTCTAATTACATTATTTGTTATCCGCTATTTTTTATTCATTCTTTTGTTGCAGGAGATAGAAAGACTAGTTCTCAAAGGAATCTCAGGGAATGATGTTGGGGATGTAGAGCTTGAGAGGGTGAGTGAAATTACATTCATTGTTTCTATAAAATTCATTGACCCAAGACAAAAGGCCCTTTGTTAGTCTGAAAGCTCAGGACATAATAAACCTTTTATTTTGTCACTAATTATTACAAATAAATTGTGCTGTATGAAACCTGTAAATGAATTGTATATAATTCATATGAGTGAAACTATAGTTAATCATAATGCTTTACACTGTGTAGGATGTCAAAAGGTTGCAATTTCCTAGTTTTTTGTTAGCATGTATTTTGAGGTGGTTCAAAGATAAAATAAACACTTTAGATAGCTAAATAAGATTACATCTTTACTTTTTAGGGTGTTTTACTTGAAGTTCCTTCAAGTTGTTACTTTCTCATTAAAGATTTTATGTAGACAATTAAGTGAGATATTATTTCTTTGATTCCACTGAGCACTTTTAAGTTTTTGTGCCATAATATTACTCATCAACAGGTCATGTGAGTAAAGGTAATAGTATGCCATTACTTCCATTGTTATAGCAGTGGTATGCCATCTTTTCCATTGCTACAGGAGGATGGTGAACAGAAATATAGATAATTTACAATCTAAAAGGTTGATCTTATCTTACTCCTGAAAAATCTCTTTTTCTTGAATTTGCCATTTCAATTCTTTAGAAGTATTAAGCTAAGACCATTCTTTTAGATTTTAAATCAAGATGACTTACTCCAGTTTCCAAAAAATTTAAAACACAGATACCTGTCAAGGGGGCTTAAAGTAACATAAAGCAGCACTTAAGATACCACTTAGCATTGTTAAAATTAGTAGTTTATAGTCCAGTTGTGTTTAGAATGATTAACAAGAAGAGCTGTTGTCACATTTCAGTCAAAAAGAATGTTAAAATTGAAAATGACATAGCAAGTTAAACATGTGTCAGTTAATATTAAACTTGACAAACCAGTAGGTAAGCAGTTGAATTTACAATGCAGATTCTAATTGGAATTTCTAGGTGGGGCTAGCTGTTACTACTGGCATTTGATATGGGTACTATATACAGTTAAAATCTCAAGTGGGGCATAAATAGGTAATTTTGTTTACACATTTTTGCTAAATACTCTTTAAGCAGTGTTGTGTTTTGCAGTCACTTAATATGCTTTTTAAATAACTACAGATTTCTATAATAATGGGTGAATATGAAACCAGTTTATCTTTGTAACAGTATGTATTCATAATTCACTGGTTTCTGTAGAAGAAAATAGAAAGCCACCTAAAAAATTATGTAGCTTTGACAACTCTTGGTAGAGGTAGAAGTTAATTAGTTAGTCATGTTCTCTCAGAACTCTTGATATTTATATTTTACTTTCATACACGTTTATTTTCTGATCTTTGCTATATGCTTTTATACACTTAACTAAACAATCACAATTTTTTGAACTAGCTTAAATGTACCATTATAGAAAAATTCATTGGAATTTATGTATTTATTTTTCAAATATTTTAATTCAACCCTTTGGTATTTGAATGCATTAACATTGAACATTTGCTATTCTCTTGATATATATAACATACAGCAATACTTTTATACTGATGTGGTGACTAAAATGTTCTTTTTTATAACATTGTCAGATTTTCAAAGCTACAAAATTACAACCTACTATTATAATATGTTTATTTTAACTCAAATTAGTTGGCTTTCATTGTGAAATGATAATAAAAATAGTGACAGGAACACTTTTTTCTGTGTATTTTTCTTTATTGCATATATTTCAGTTATGTCAAATGACAGATAAGTGTATGTGGAAAATGTTTTGTAGGATGTAGAACCTCCTCCAGATGGACACCGAGCCCCCATTGCTGACCTCTTTAGGTCCACCACAGCCATATCCACACGAAATGTGAACACACAAACTCCCTCTGGTAGAGGAGAGAGTTGCCCTAGTAGTGGTGCAACTAGCCGCAGTCAGTCAGTTTCACCGATTGTTTCATTTCTAGGCCAAATGGACAGCTCTCAGCCTGCCAGTAGAGGTAAGTCAGTGTCTCAAGTAAAGTTTTTATTCATCAATTTTTATGTGCTTTAATGGTTAGTAGTGTGCTGCTAACATCTAGAAGATAATATCTCTAAAGACTTGTAACTGTAAGCACAATTAGCCTCTCTTTCTGTCATAGTTGAGAAAAATTAGGTATTTCTCAGAAAATAAGTACCTAATTAATTAGAACATTTACTAACAAGTAATGTGTTTACAGCTTTTTATTCCTGTAGAATATTCAGTAACAAGTAATGTCTTTATGTATGGCTTGATTTCTCTATAGAACATTCAAAAACAAGTAATGTGTTTATCTGTGTCTTGTTATCTCTGTAGAACATTCATTAACAAGTAATGTCTTTATCTACAGCTTGTTATTCCTGTAGAACATTCAATAACAAGTAATGTCTTTATCTGTGGCTTGTTATTCCTGTAGAACATTCAATAACAAGTAATGTCTTTATCTACAGCTTGTTATTCCTGTAGAACATTCAATAACAAGTAATGTCTTTATCTACAGCTTGTTATTCCTGTAGAACATTCAGTAACAAGTAATGTCTTTATCTGTGGCTTCTTACTTATAGAACATTCAATAACAAATAATGTCTTTATCTGTGGCTTGTTATCCCTGTTGAACATTCAATAACAAGTAATGTTTTTATCTACAGTTTGTTATCCATGTAGAACATTCGGTAACAAGTAATCTCTTTATCTGTGGCTTGTTATCCCTCTAGAACATTCAGTAACAAGTAATGTATTTATCTGTGGCTGGTTATCCCTGTAGAACATTCAGTAACAAGCAATGTCTTTATCTGTGGCTTATCCCTGTAAAGCATTCAATAACATTAAAATTCAATTTTCCAGTTGCCATTCTCCAGTCTACTCACTATCTTTAAATTGAAAGTGGCTCTTTATTTCCTTACCTGTTTATACTATTCTACCATTCACTTCTCAAAACTCACCCAGTGGGAAGTATTGCCTCACAGCATATACTTACTTCCCTAAACCCTTATTAAGTCAGGAGAATGGAAAGCATTAAACTCATCTGCTCTATGTTCTAGAGTGCCCGCAGTTGAGATTTTGATGACGAGGAACCCACTTTATAGAAAATAAAAGTTTGGAGATGGCTTGACTGGGTAATGAAGAATACTTTATTGTAAATTTACAGATGCTTCACAGCACAATGCAGTGAGAATTAGGACAAGGGTGTCCATGTCTATGTAGTGCTGGGCATCCCCTATTGTATAATTTATCAATTTCCCAGTAGTTTGGCCAGCTGGATGAGGCAAAGTGTTTTCCTCACACAACAGAAGGGACTTTGTTCCAATTTCTGTATGTAAAGTAAATAAATTGAACAACAGAACACATACCAAATTGTATAGTCTGATCATTGCTCTAGCCTCACTACATCTCATGTCCAACTGACCTGTTGTGTGAAAATGTTTTATTGGTCATGTCTGTTTTTGCCCATCCCCGTGACACATTGGCATATTTTGTCTTCCTCCTTTCATAATTCCATCAAGATGTAGAGTAAACAGTATCTCAGAAGTGTTACCCCTCTAGTAAGCCCCCACTATAGGGTGTCACACTCCATGGGCTTTGCCCTTCAGTAGCCATCTCTGAAGGAAGTTCATGTAGGCTTTCACAATTGCACCAACCCCTCCATCACATCAGTGTGGAATTCTATCTACTGTGTGCAGATTGGTAAGTATAGCATTTCAGAAGTTAACATTTTCCTTACCTGAACACCGCTAGAAACCGGGTTTCAATACCCGTGGTGGGCAGAGCACAGATAGCTCTTTGTGTAGCTTTGTGCTTAATAACAAACAAACAACTCTTACCTGAAAAAGTATTTCTTATAGATACTTAACTCTCTGTCTACCTTCCTTTCCCACCCACTACCAGTACACATTATTCTTGCCTCATGTAAAAATGAGGTTATATTCGAGTGCAAGTACTTACGGGAATCTACTGTGCATGGAAGATATGTCACCATCCTATTAGTGAAGGGCTACTGTTTCATGATAATTACATCATGCACTATTGCAGTTCATGTTATAACATTTGTCTTAGTTGGGAGATGACTCAAAGAACCTTTTGTTATTTCACTAAGTATATTTAAGTATTTAAGAATAATATTACAACACAAAGAGATCATGTGGTTCAAGTTAATAGTATGCCATTATTTTCACTGATACAACATTGTTTGCCACTATTAAAGAGCCTAGTTTGACTAGTTGGCAATTTAAATAGTGTATCTTATTTAATGTTAGTCATGGATATTTTAAGCTTTTGAGTTGAGTCTTGTTATGTAATTATTCCTCATTCAGAAATGATGTAGGATGAGTTTCACATTTTGAACATTACAGTAAATTACTTTATATTTGGAAAAATCTTTAACTATTCAAAGACAGTGAAAAAAGACTGACAAAATAAATCAACTTAATTACAAAAATATATGTTTAAATACCATTGTTTAGATTAAAGTAATCTGAATCTATAGTTTTTCAACAATTTTTTGCAATTCTGCAAAAATAATCAACAATAATATAATGATCAAATAAGAACTGAATTAAGATTATTTTTGTGTATTACTCTTACAGAAGGAAGTAAAAGTGCCTCACCTGATCTAGACTGTAGCTTTAAATTTGGCACAAGCCCTCGTATTAATAGGTTTTTGGCCAGAGAGCCTCCAGATGGGTGTGAAAAAGTGAAAATTTTAGAAGAACGAAGGTAAGCTTGCAAAGTTATCCTTATTGTATATTCCTAAATGTTTCATGAAATAATGAAATAGTTAAAAAGTAATTGAGGAGACCCAATAAAAACATTTCAGTTAATGTTATAATCTGATATTCAGGTAGAATGATATCAAAGAGGTAAGCTTAATTATTTGCAAAATGCATATTCTAAAAATATTATGTAGTCATATAAACAAGGAAGTAAAGGATGACAAGTAACACAAATGATCAAGCAAAATAATATATTCATTTCCACTAGTTGTCAGTCATAGCTTACTGGTCAGCTTCTAGTTGTTTGAACTTGCTGAGAAGGTTCCAACTACATCCACACAGATCAAGAACTAAAGAAATAATAATGTATTTCCACACTATCAAGTAAGACAAAAATCCTAGTGAGGTATCCCACAATCCTTAGATTACCTACATCACTGACTGTTTCAAATAACATATACGTGAGAGAGAACCCCAAACTCATACCAACTTGTATGAGTGTCTGTGCCACCCCTTGAGATGGGTTTGCTCCACCCCAGAGAATAGATAGACATAGGATCAGACTGGTACACTCTTTTATGGGGTAGCAATTGCTATATGTAACCTTTATCTAAATAAAGGATTGGTATGTGTTTATTACCTTCCAATATCTAGTTTACAAGGATTTCATTAAATAAGCACAGAACACCTATGTGAAAAGTTGAAAACTTTCTTAAATATATTATTCAGGGAATATAAGGTGTAACCCCAGAATAATTCATGTAAAGCCGAAAATTTTAGGATAGGTTTACTTTGTTATGTACTGCAACATATATATTCAAAAGTGATAAAATCAGGGTATGTACCACTCCTTTTCATTGCAAGTGCGGCTCTCCAAGGAAGCTTATCTTTAACTTGGAAATGATGAAACAAAAAATTAAAAAACAATTTCTTGGTTATTAATCAGTTTGATTCAAAAGTCAGGAAGCCCTTCAGTTATTCATGTGTCTGAACCTCCCACTCCTTCCTATAATGGTGGATGAGACTTTCCGGACATTTTCAGCTTTATCCTAGTTATTACGAGGTTAAACAATAGATTTCTGTGCACTAAATGTTTTGTTCTGCCCATTTATCAAAAACAACTGAAAAAAATTTTAATTTTTTCTTGTTATTTTACTTAGTTTCATTTGATAGGTAAATTAAAATGTCAGTTAAATGGAAAAAACAACAACTTTGCTTGTTATTTTATTTAGTTTTCTTTTTTGACAGATAAATGCATATACAATGACTTTGTTACAATAATTCTTGAAAACAATCCAATCCAGAGCTAGCTATCTAGCTCCCTCTACTATTATAGCACAATCCTCACTTTCTCAATTGCCATTCAGATGTGTGTTTTAACTCGTTTTCTATGTGACTACAAAATTTTAATTATGCTTATTCATGAATTTATATAAGTTTCAACTTCTTGTGTTTAATTTCCATTGTTTCTACTTGTTTTAGAAATTAGTTCATATGAATTTTAGGTTTGATATGATGAGTGATGAAATTCCTGGGTTAGTAGACAATGGTTTTGACACAAGTCTACAGTTCTCAGGGTTGACGATGTCTGCTGGGGAAGCACAGGCTATAAATCGAGGGGAATTCTTGACTCACGTTTGGCCGTAGTTCTCTTCCTTTCACGTTACGATTTTTTGTGTGGAAGGATATAACTACTGCTGGGTTAGGTATTGTTCCCAGGTGTTCTGCGGCAAGTTTTTCAGTGTGTATTCCTCATTCCCAGTAGGTATACCCATGTTTAACGAGTTTATGTGTGCTTGTGTGGATGGACCTAATTTTTCCACTCAATAATTTAGGTCTTTCCTGTTTTCTCTGCTTAGTATTTGGTAAGTTAGATTTTTTATAATTCTTTTACCATCTAAGTTACTTTAGTTTACATTTGCATTTAGAGTTTGTTTATTACTTTGTTTTTGTTTAATTTTCGGTATGTACTGGTTTTGCACGATCATTACTGTTTGGGTAATTATACCTTCGGCTAATTTTGTGGGTGTGTTGGTTCATTATTTTTACTCCTTTTCACTGTTTATGTAATTTAATTTGTAAGTTCCTTTTTCTTTACTACTAGTCACATCTAATTGGGGAAAGAGACTTGAGTCAAAATGTATTATTGTTAACTGGGTGCCTTTTTATTTTGATATTCTTCAGGGTAAGTTTTACTTTCGTGTCCTTTGTCTTATAAATCCTTTGGATGTACTTGTATGTTTGATATTTAAGGGTCTTTTATCTTCTAAATTCCTTTAGTGGTTTTGTACTTTAGGTGTTGCTTATTGTTTTATGTTTTAGGTGGAATTTCATAGTTTTGTGGGTTTGTTATTCTTACATACTTTGTAAAATCTACAAATTTCTAAGTTTTGTTAGTTCCTTAGTATTGAGTACTTTCTCTAAGTATGTTAGTTTAATTGTCTTTTTGGCTACGCTTCATGACAGTTCTGTGGATTATATGATTTCTGCCTTTATTTTCACTCCCTTCTATCCACTTCCCTGATTTCCTTCCCTCCTCCACGAGATCATACCTCATCCAGTCATTTGCTGAGTCTGTTGGACACCTCCTACACAAAGGAGTTATCGAACGAGTGATGTCCACACAACTGGGATATAACTACTGTCTATTTGTTGTCTTCAAAAACATGGGAGATTGGAGACCCATAATACATCTGTCCCAGCTGTATATCTGGAGACATCTTGTTTCACCATGGAGTCATACCTCTCACTTCAGTGTTTTTTTTTTCTCTTTGGATGACCAAGTTTGATTGGACATATACCTATCTTCATATTCCAATTGCCCCAGTGTCACATCATTTTCTTCAGTTTGTTCACAGAGTTTCTGTCTTCCAGTTCTGGGTGCTGCCATTCAGTCTTTCTTCAGCTTCGTATTTATTTTTTCGAGTGGTACACTCCTTTGCATGTCATCTTCACTCACTTGATCTTAGGACTCACTATTACATGGAATGACTAGCTATTGCTTGCCCCTTCCTATGCCCAGTCAGTCACTTACACCAGCGTAATTCTTCGAGAAGGTGCTCTGGTGGGGTTTCTCATCAAGTTGAAGAAGTCCTTTACTATCCCCACACAGTATCTTATTCGCTTGGGGGTTTTCATCAGTTCCCATCTTGGTCGGGCCCAGCCTTCTCCACTTTGGTTCCTGGATATGAAACAGGCATTCACGAAGGCCCTACCTTCTCCTTCTCTCTCTGCGCAAGAGGTTCTATGTCTTTTGGGGATGTGGGCTTCCTTGGTAGCTCTCATTCCCTCTGCCTTGTCCTGAGCCTCATCTGTTCACAGATGCTTCCTTGATAGATTGGGGGCTTTTCTCAATTCCCAAGAGATTTTGGGTCATGATCAGTCAAGGAGGCTACTCTCCATATCAACATATTGGAACCTTTAGCAGTTCATCAGGCTCTGTATCATTTCCTTCTGCTTTTGTGGTTATGGTTTATTATGACAATTCCACTGTCGTCAGCTATCTCATCAAGCAAGGGGAACCAAGTCCAGGTCTCTGTGTTTTCAGACTCTGGATCTCCTGTATTAGGCCAACAGCCAAGACATGATGGTTCTGGTGTGTTACGTACCCAGATTTATGAATCTTGTGGCTAACTGCTTATCCTGTCCCAACCAGGTTCTCCCCATGGAGTGGTCCCTTCATCCTTAGGTATTTCTATGGGTGTGTTCTCAACTGGGAACACTGCATATATATACATTTGCCACTCACTGGAATGCCAAATTTCCTTTTTTTTTGTCTCCAGTTCCTCACTCCTCAGCTCTGGGGTGGATACTTTCAGTTGAGATTGAAGAGGCTTCACCTATATGCCTACCCTCCAATCAGACTCCTCTTCAGAGGTCTCCTTATTCAGACCACTCTTTGTCGTGTTCTGCTAGTTTGCTCCATATTGCCTGGCTCAGACGTGATTCCCTCTGCTCTGGCCCTTACTGGAGCAACAACCCCTGCCTTTCCCTCTGTCCTGATTGCTTCTCCGACAACCACAATAGGATGTATTTCATCCCAATCTCATCAAACTCTATCTTCACATGTGGCTTTTTTTCTGGTCCCTTGCCTCAGCTCAGGGATTTGCCCCTCGTGTAACATCTTTCCTTGCCCATACTATTTGCCCTTCCTCCTTGTATATGTATCAGAGGTATTGGTCTTAATTCAGACTTTGGTCTATTTGCCATGGCTTCTGACCATCCTGTTTTTCTGTTTCTCCTGAGTGGGGTTTGTACAATAAACTAAATTAAACTTCATAGCTCAAATGTACCCACTCAGTGAAAAGAGGGCTATCATCATTATACTTATTCATTATGCAATATCATAATATTCTGGATCCAAGGCACTTCTTCCACATGTTTTTGCCTGGGCTGACTACACTTGTTGATCATAAGATAAATTTCTTATCCAAGGTGCTTCCACTGGATGTTTTTGCCCAGATGGACCACACTTGGCATAATCCAACATATCCCAAGGCACTTCCCCTGAATGTTTTTACCCAGGTGGACTGCACTTGGCCTATTCAAATACAATTTAGGTCCTTTAGCCCCAGCCACCTATACATATATATATCACATTATCAGGTACCTTACTATGACTAACTATCACCATGTCCCATGCCTATGATTGCTACATACCTGGACGGATTATGCACTATCTGTTGACAACAGGCTGATTCTGAATTATTTGACAATTTTTCAGCAAACTACTTATTCAGGGTGTTTCCCATGGATTTTTTTTTTATGGGGGACATCATTCTTGTTGCTCAGAATATCCTAGACAAGGTGTTTCCACTGGATGTTTTGCATGGTCAAACAGCAGTTGACATGCTCTGGTGTGCCCCAAGACTCTACCCTTGGCACATATTTATTTGGGCCCAATTTTGATTACACACTAGACATTCTATTTATGTCCACGCTGTGCTGTTTTACATTATAGTTCTACAGCACTTCTCCACAGAACAATGCTGTACATCTCTTTCT